TGTTGATTCAAACTCACCATTTTAATGCAAATTTACATGTCTGGCTGCAGCTGAGTGCGCGAAGAAGCTTGCCACAATTGGTTAATTTCCAGAGAGTCAAATCCCATTACAGGCAACTTGGAATTCAAATATGTTTTTAACTTAATTATGAAAAATCAATCGGTAAGTGCAAAGCGCTGATTAATATATACCTAAATATGTTCAAAATGTCGTGCACAGAGTTTTACGATTATATTAGGGAAAATACAGAAGTTTTGAAACAAGTTCACAGCAACGAAAAATATGACTGATATTTTAATGTTATCTTGTACTCAAATTTTTTTCTTTCATGAAACCTAGTGTACTTAACAGTGCCGTAAAAAATTATTGCCTCGGAGGCTCTTTCATCAGATCACAATTTCTAATCAGATTCTTAAGAAAAATTTTGAAAATGTATCTTTTGAGTCAATTAATAAAGTGCAAGTCTGAAGTTGCCAGAAAATTTCGTTGATTTTTAGCATTTTTTTGCTGCTAAAAAGAATTGAAATTATTGCCTCGGAGGCTCTTTCATCAGATCACAATTTCTAATCAGATTCTTAAGAAAAATTTTGAAAATGTATCTTTTGAGTCAATTAATAAAGTGCAAGTCTCAAGTTGCCAGAAAATTTCGTTGATTTTTAGCATTTTTTTGCTGCTAAAAAGAATTGTCGAACATAGTTTCTATGAAAGAAACTCTACTAAAATCATTACAATACTAAAATCAACTAAAATTTAATGGGCTGCAAAACTTAATTTACAAAATTTTTATAAAAAGTCTGATTAGAAGGTTTGTATGCAACTTTATTGAATTTTCCCGAGTTTAGCACAAAGTTAAGAAATTTTATTTTTATGTTTTTTTTTTATGTATTTAGTATAAAGAATAAAAAAGGCGCATGCATTGCGAAAAATTCTCTGTGCTTTAGTTGTGATAATTTGTTTTGTTTTGTTGGCGTACGTCGTAGTGATCTCATGTTTTTATGTTTTTGTTTTGTCTGTCAAAATAAAATTTTACTACATCTGTTCGCACGTAATTTTTGTCGAAACGAAGGGGAAGGGAGCGATTTTGAAGATATCTCTTAGCAAGACCCTGACCAAAGCTCGTACAGAGTTTGGTAAGGATTGGTGAAGAGGCTACTGAGATACAGCATTTCATCATAAGTGAGCGAGGTCACGCCCATTTTCCAAGAATTTCATAACAATACATATTGTTTTTTACCACAATTATACTCCACATATTAATTTTTGCATTTTTTCGAAAATACCGTCATATGGGAAGTGGGCGTGGTTACAGTCCGATTTCGCCCATTTTTAATACCAACCTACCTTGGATAAAGGGCAAACTACACATAAAATTTCGTTGAGATATCTAAATTTTTGCTCGAGTTATTGTGTACACGGACGGACGGACAGGCAGACATGGCTTAATCGACTTCTCTTTTCATTCTGATAATTTATGTATATATTTGTCCATATCTATCTCGATTCGTTTTGGCTGTTACAAACAACCGTTATGCGAACAAAATTAATATACCCTTGAGCACAAGTGCGCTCGGGTATAAAAAGAGGGGTTTATTTTTTCGGTATAGAACATTCCTAGGGGGTGCGGGCATAAAAATTCCGACTTTACTTTTTCACATGCATTTTTGAATCACCCTTACGTACATACAAGCGGCCGCTGTGGTGTAATGGTTGGGAGAGCGCATTCCATTCCGAAAGGTTCCGACCAACATCAAACGATGGAAAACCTCCGAGTGTATTCTGCCATGAAAACCAGCTTCTAATAAAAATACAAGCTCCGTTCGTAAAAACTTAGCCACTCGCTTTGTGTGACATCAAGGCGCTCGCTACAAATCGGAGGAGAAGCTCGGCCAAACACTAACATGTTGTGTAAGCGCCAATCTATTATTATTATGTGCATGTATGCGAAATTATAGGGGCACGGTTTGCAAAGCTGTCCCATACGAAAACCGGTTTTTACCGTGCAATCCGTGCAATCTGTGCACCATGCAAGGGCTTTGCAAGACTCAGAGAATACCCCTTATGAGTTATTATTCGTATAAGAAAGATGACGACGAGGAGAAGTTCAATATTTAATTTTTTTCGCTCAACGTGAATTAACCGACATGCCGTGAAAAATCAAAATTGCGTATAATTATGCTATACATGTCTCAAAATACCCTTTTATAAAGACCTGGCTTCCACATTTTTGTTAAGAGTTTGGTACAGCTTGTGCGTTTGATGGTGTGACACGAATGGAGGGATCGGTTATCAAGAAGACACCGCTTTAGAAAATCTTTTCGCGCAATTTTTGGATGTTTTGACGTACGCCAGACGTAAACAAAACGAGTACAAGTGGAATTATTACATAATTAGGTTTTTAAAATTTTGTTAATTAGCTCCCAGTTACACCCGTACTATAAAGTTTAAATTAAATAAGCCCATTCATAAAGTTTCCATTTAATATTTTTGATAACTCTTTGATAATATTTCTCAAATTTTTTGTTAACATTTTCTCTAAGCTTGTGGCAACCGTAGTCCACTGGCTTGGCCATGTCGTTCGAATGGACAGAAACGCTCCTGCCTCTTCTGCGTTGGAAAGACCAGGTGAAGAAGGACTTGGCTTCACTTGGCATTTGCAATTGGCGTCAGTTGGCACAGAAGAGAAATGACTGGAGTGCTGTTTTGGACTCGGCCAATATCGCTTAGGCGGTTACAGCGCCAATAAAGAAGAAGAAGAAATTCCTCTCCAACTTTTCATGTACAGAAAGGTGAAACAACTATACGCCGGGTATACATATAAAGTTCGGTTTCGCCCGAACGAATCGTGGTATTTTCTGAAGATTTCAGAGTTCTTTTAGCATTTAGATTTTTAATGCTGAAATGCTTTATGCGGTGTTTACATTATATTTAGATGATTCAACTTTCACAGGCGATTAGTTGAATCAAAAGTTGAACGAAAAGCAGCCGATCGACTTCGTTGAAAGCGATTAGCTGAAAGGCCGTTTACACCAACTTTTAGTTAAAAGCAACAATCGCCTGGCGTGAATGCCTTTCAACTAATCACTTTCAATGAAAGTTGATTCAACCAATCGCTTCTAAAATTGCTTGTCTAATAGCCCCATGTAGGTATAGAATTGCGTATGGGTAAATGTACCATTAGGGTAAAATTTATAGGCTATGTGCTTATGTGCTAAATGCACATTTATCATTTAGCATAGACGGCCTATATGTTCACAGTTGTTAATGCATCTAACAATGATGATTTGAATCAAACACATTTTCACTTTTTTCATCCTAATTGCTTTATTGCACGGCTACTTAATAACTATTTAAGTAATAATTTATGCTTCTCACTATTATTAAATGTACACATTTTTTTTATATATAAACCTAATATATCACTATATATAACTACATACTTAAAATAACATGATTTTAAAAGTACAAACCACTAGCATTCAATGACTTACTTATGTATTATTTTTAAAGGACGTTCTTGAATGTTTTTGTATGTTTGAATGTAGGAATTCTTTTTAATTGATCGAATGTACAACAATGTACAAGATGTATTGTGTATGTAAGTTTCATAGTAAATGAAGTATTTAAAGTGTTAAATTCATGATAGTGATATGTAATGGGTATAGTTTTCCCAATTATAATAATGTGTTTTCAAATTATAGCTAAATCGATTGAGGAAAATACTACTTCGATTCTTTTCAACAACTTTATAGCACTCTTAGCGTTTCTTTTTTTCTTATTGTACTTTACATTTCGTTTAAATAAAATATTCGTCTTAATCCTTAACAATTCCCGTTTCGTTTGCATTTTGCCTCTGATATGTATAATAAATAAGTTAAAAAGTTGTTTTACATTTGTATGTGTGGGAAAGCTTTCTGCCGCTTCGAATTCATAAATATTTACTTTACATAAATTGATTGTGTATAAGTTAAAAAGGACTTCTTCTTTTTGGTAATCAATACTAAGTTAATACTCCATATGAACAGGTTTAAATCTAAACATATGTAAAATCTCGCTACATATGTAAATACATACTCAATGTACATGCAACTAAAATTAGGGACGTATTTTAAAAAAATCGATCAAATTAATCAAGCTTTAATAATTATAAACACATTAAAAAACACATAGCATCAATAAAAGCTAATACAAGCAAGAATAGTTAACCAACCATTTTGTAGCGTGGGCCGTGCAGACCCGACACGAATCACATTTTTGACAACAACCGCGCAACGGTTTCTATCATTACTGCATAAATCTCAGCTACACCGTTATCGTTTTCTTTTGTTCATAATTCCGATCCTTAAGCAATTGATCCAGCTGTTCCTCCTGATAGTAGACAATGAATTCCGCCGGTGCAAGCGTTGCGAATAACGCGCAAATGCTGGGTTTAAGATTGTAGAAGAACAATAATTGTGAGCGCGCAGCAAAATCACTCAACAACGATTCGATAACAGTGGCTGCAGTGAAATCAGCACCGTAAATATGCGAAGCATCGATAACGACGGGTACATTTTGTCGCATGGAGTGTTTTGTTACCAGATTCCGCACATAATCCACAGAGGGGAAAATCAAACAACGATCTGGCGTGATCATGAGGTATTCATTGCCGGCCTGAGTGGTTAGGATTTCGGTTGTGATTTTGGGACGCGCCGCATGGTACAGAATAAATATGACATTCAAGCCGACTCCAATTAGTATGCCGATTTCCAACGGCAACACCAGACAGGCGATAAATGTGCCCAAACCAGGGACAAGATCACTCTCTATACATGGAAAATATGAAAAAAAAGTTAAGAAAAATCCTTTGATAATTTGAGATAAATCAGCAGAAACTTACTTTTGGCGCGCCACATTGGTTTGATTACGCGCACCTCGACCATAAACATAACGGCAGCAATGATAATCGCCGCCAATGTCGATTTGGGTATGAAGAAGAAATAGGGTGTAAAGAAGATTAGCGCAACGATCACTAAGCTGCCGGAGTAGATATTGCTGAGCGGCGTTCTCACGCCACTAGCATTATTGACTGCGCCACGACTCAGTGCACCTGTGCCTGGGAAGGCCTGCACGAAGGAATTGGCAATATTTGCAATGCCAATGGCGATGAGTTCTTGCGAGGCATCCACTGGTTTGCCGTTGCCTGTTTGGAAGTAAATTATTGGTTAATTTCAATTGCATGACAGTGACAGGAGAAGACAAAACAATATATATACTTACCAAAGGCTTTAGCGATCGAAATAGTTTCCATAAGCGATATGAGCGGCAGCACAATAAGTCCAGAACCTAAATTTTTAACCATGTCAATGAAGTTCTCCTCATGCCCGGATAATGTCTCATTGGCGGACATGTGGAATGGTGGTGGTTGTACAGTAGGCATGCCCGCGGGAATGTAACCGATAACGCGGAAGGGTGTGTTTTCGCCCTCGGAATGTAGCATATAGCCCAAGATTCCGCAGACGATGACCAATATGGCATTACGGGATGTGCCAATCAGCCACATGACTTTGTTGAAAATATTTTGGGTCTTCGAGCGCAGAGTAGGCTCCTTGGGACCAATCTTCAATGATGATAACAACTGCGGGTAATAAATAACACAAATGTTACGATTCTAAAAATTCTTTCCAATGAACAGAGTACAATTTTTTATTGAAAAAATGTGCACTAAAAACTTACCCTCATCATCAGTAGCACCACGATGCATGTGATACCCAAAATCGTATCCGTGGCGCGTGTCTGCTTGATATTCTCGAAAATGTGTGTTGTAATTTCCAAAAATGTTGTACCAGGCGCCGGTATGCCCAGTATGTCTTTCACTTGCGATGCAACAATTATTAATGAAACTGCTGATGTGAAACCGGATGAGACAGGACCAGAAACGAAATCCAATAGGAAGCCCAAACCAAAAATGCCCATAAACAATTCCACAATACCACAAAGCAGCGTAAGTAATACGGCCAGCGGCACGGAACCTTTAGCGGTTTGAAAAGTTAGTAGCGCTACGATAGCCGAAGGGCCAACTGGCACGTCCTTACAACTGCCAAGTAAAATGTAGATGAAGCAACCCAAAAAGGAACCATATAAACCATACTGCAAAGAAAAATGCGAAAAGAAAAAATATCAATAAAATAATAGATTAATTTATGTACATATCTGTGTACATACACACATACGTACGTTTGTATTCCGCATTTCCACTGGGAATTAAAATACGCAAATTACAAAGATGCGCATTAAATAATACGCGTATACCTATGGCATTTTACAAAAAAAATCTACCATTTTGGTTATTCTAATGCTCAGTGGAAATTCGACATAAAATGTGTTATAATTAGGGATGTGCCTGATAGAAATTTTGCAGGATAACCGCATTTCAGAGATAATGTAATAAATAAGAGCCATATGCGTATATCCGGTGGATTGCTGTCCCTGATGAATTTCACGATCTTGTTATTTAAAATTGTAAATTCAGGGACCGCGAATAACTGTTATGGCTGATAATGGTTTATGCAATGATGCGGATATAGAAATAGTTTATTGCCCTTTCAAGTGGGTATGATTATTTTCATAACGAAAAATATGAACATTTTTAACTTAAATTCTTCAACTTGATATTAAAAAAACATTAAAATAGTCGGACAACAAAAATACAACCGGCTTCCGGATATCTACCGCATACCAGGCTTATCTCCAATTTTAATCAAAATAGCTTTTTATAAATAATAAAGTAAATATTTATAACTTCAACTTACAGCTGCTGGAAGTCCAGCTACGCCTGCGTACGCCAACGCCTGTGGTATTACCGTTAAACCCACAGTCAGACCAGCTACCACATCGCCCACAGCATCTTCGGTACTGTATTTGGGCAACCAATGGAGTATGGGCAGGCGTTTGTATAGCGTCTTGCGATTGAAGGTACGTCTCGTGCGGTCTTGCACCCAAGCTTTGGCACAATCCATTGTTTTAACAGGTGGTATCATTTTTTTGCCGTCTTTGGTTACTGCAAAAGTTTGATAAAAAGCAGAGGACGGAAAAATGGAGAGATTAAAATCCGGTTATAACAATTTTAGGTGGATGCAAACCATGTTAAACGAAGCTCTAAGTAAAAGAAACATTGCATAAAAATGTTTGATGTGAAACTTCTTTTGTGAATAGCGGTTTAAGGATATGATTCAGATTACGATGAATACTAGGATAACGATAAGGATGAATATACATATGTGTATATAGACAAGATTATTCTTTCTTAAGATAAAGATAAAGATAAGGAGAGAGATAAAGAAAGGGATAGAGGTAGAAACAAGGAAAGAGATAGGGGGAGGGATACAGATAAACATTAAGAGACAAAGTTAAAACTGGTAGTCGAGCCCCCCTTTGAACTCACTTCACCTCAACTCAACTCAGCTCACCTCACTTCACTTCAACTCACCCTAACCCACCTTATGTCACCTCACCTTAATTCACCACCATTTAATTTTATTTCTGAATTGATCACCGACTTTTAAATCAAAATTAAAATTAATTTCTGGATTTGATTAAGTCAACAAAACTCAACCTAGTGTTATGTTACACTATGTTCAGTCATACAAGTATTAGGATTATGGTATGATCAAGATGTGAATCAATAAAAGTTTTATTTCCGTGGCGCGGCCTAGGTACTTTCTTTTTAATAATTTATCAAGATATTTTTTTTTGGTTAAAAAAATAAAAATTTGGCATTACGACTTTTTTGTCTTATGCTTTGTTTTTTTTTTTAAGTTATATGTTGTTCGGATTAGGTACCTAGCCTAGCTCTTACCAAGTGGTCTTTTCCGAAAGGGGTTAAAGGCAATTTATTATAAAACGCATTTTTTCATAAATATATGAAAACAATAGCTACGAGTATATCCTTTAGTCGAATTATATTTTGCAAATGCTTACATCTACATATATACAACTTTGATGAAACTATGTTTTTTAACCGAAACATTTGAAAAAAAAATTTCATAAAAGTTTGTTAATAATAGCCAATAGCGAAAGCTAAGGGATAATTCGGAATAGCGGATTAAAAATCAAAATTTATACTACTTCATCTCTGGTTTTTAAATAAAAACAAAATTTGTTTTATGTCCATGGGCACAACCTTAATACATACATATATACATATGTTCTATATACTTATTTGCATCAAAGCCTCGTTAGTACTTAACATTTTTAACTTAAATTTTTCAGTGTTTACAAAGTGCTTCCCTTAACTTTATACAATTTAATGTCATTGTTCCACTGGCTTAAGCGTTCGGAATGCAAAGGCACGCGCGCGTTTTAATTAGCAATTAAAATGTTGTTCTTAATAAAATGTATTATTTTAGTGCATACACCTAGTAAGCACGCTAATTTACGGAAGGTCTAATAGTAAAAATTATGCTACCGTCCAATATACAGTGACGAGCAGAACTGTAACATGGTTTAACACTTTTTGTTTCAGCCACCGCTATATTTCCAAGTTCTAACGACTTTCATACTTTTGATGTATATTCTTGTTGGTACAACCCTACTCTCTCTCTCTCATAATGATTTGAAGTCAATACAACAACAATAAAAAAACCAGCAGACACAAATGTAAATTAAGGCAGATGTTACAGTTTTGCACTCATATACTTTTAAGAGCTTTTTAACAATTTTCACGGAAAAAAAGAACTAATAACACAAAGTTCAGTAGTCTTTTGCCTGTTTCAGTTCCTGGATGTGATTTGGCATACCTTATTTGTATCTTTGTAAAAATTCTGGAGGTATATCCTTAGTTTGCTTTCACAGCTCATGTACTCGATTTTACGGACTTTGATACTTATTAAGCTGTGCTTTTAGTTGATTTCGCAAATTCTCGATGAGATTCATGTCCGCGGATTGTGGAGGTCATTTGAAATTAGCAAATTTTCCGTTTTGTATCCAGTCTTTGCGAATATGTGCAGTGTGTTTTGGGTGATTTTTCAGCAGAAACTCTCATTTTTTCGACTACATCTTGCAAATTTTGTTGAAATATGAACAGATACTGTTCCTTACGCATAATGCGTACCAACGGACCAACAAAATTTTTGAAATACAACCCCAAACAATTAAGATCCTACCACTGTGATTCACAGTTTGCAGTACATGATGCGCTTGGGCTTAATTTGGGTCTTTGATCCAATACCATGCTCGGCCATCTGATTGAAAGCGATTAATTTAGTTTTATCAAAAATATGTTTTTTATTGCATTCTGAACGGCCTAACATATCCCAATAGGCAACGGTTCGGTTTTCGTGCGATGCTGCGAAATGCTGCCACACTCGCACATGTATTATGATCAAATTTGCTTTTTTCTTCTTTATGATGCGTTTGCGCTCAAGTTGGCAATTCTTCGCCTCGCTGTCTATTGATTTGCATTAAAGTTTAATACCTTAAGCGCTTCTGTAATAGTGGCTGCATCGCTACTTGCTTCTAAGTTCACAAGATATCGTACCGTAATATTTTTTAACAGACTTCCTTTGTCCTTGGGAACACTTTAGGCTATATTTTTTCTAAGACTTAACATTTTTAAGTAGCAAATTCCAAAATTTTTTGCCACTTTTCATGCGGTCCCGCCTTTCCGCAGTAAATCTATTATTTACATTTATGTTTCGTGATTAACCATATTATTTATTGGTGATCACTTCTTCAATAAATTACGATATAGAAAAAAGTCATCTGACTTCCAACTAAATAAAAGATAACTGTCAAATGCAAAACTGAGAGTGAGTGCAAAACTGTAACATCTGCCTTAATTTACATTTGTGTCTGCTAGTTTTTTTATTGTTGTTGTATTGACTTCAAATCGTTATGAGAGAGGGAGCAGGGATGTACCAACAAGAATATACAACAAAAGGATGAAAGTCTTTAGAACTTGGAAATATAGCGATGGCTGCATTAAAAAGTGTCACACCATGTTACAGTTTTGCTCGTCACTGTACATATATGTATATAGACACATACTATATACATACATACAGTAGAGCATAGCATTTTTCGATTTGCTCTCTGAACTAAGTAGGTTTCAAATCTTTCAGAATAATAAGTAATTTTTAGCAAAAAAAAACCGACTTCAACTCTCATATAAAAAAAAAATATATATATATATATCTCGTGATCCACTGATCGGATCTTAACCAGATTAGTATGGGACCACCTCTGAGACACTACCTTTCCGATGCAAAAATTATCGAAATCGGTTGACGTGGTCCAAAGTTATGCGGTAACATACATAAAAAAGATAAAAAAATAAAAAATATTCCGACGAACTGATAACCTCCTCCTTTTGTGGAAGTCGGTTAAAAACTGAAATGACGTTCTATCCCAACTCCTCACAGATAACTACTAACAGTTAAAAGTAAAACCGTTTAAAAAGTTTCATAAAGTTTAATTACAATAAAAATTAACCTCGAATTAGCGCGTTAAGTTATTTAGAATTTTCGTAAACAAATACAGAGAATAAGTACTAGTATGTGAATTTCCGTGCTTGTGTACAGACGTTCCCAGCAATATTCTTTACATGTGGGTGTGTATACAAGTGCATGCACATACAGCTGATCGTATGCGAAAATAACTTGTGTGCACTGCACTGGAAAAGTGCTTAGCGGGTTCAAATGTAAATTGCAAAAACAAAATTAAATTGTATGAAAAAAGTCGCTGATCAGTTTATGAGTCATTTATCACGTATATGCGAATTATTCGGTTAGTGTTTTTATATAATTTCTGCTGATCATTAGAGTTTTCACTGTCAGGGGTCTATGGTATACATACATATTTACAAAGAGCATGCCCAGCAGGAAAGTTAAGGCGTAGATATTGAATTGACTAAATTTTACGTAACTGCCTTCCCTAAAATGGAGCGCTAACCGTTGCATTTTCCAATGCCAACGAGTGCCAGCGCGCGCTATATGCCTCTGGTTTTATTTTATCTTTCACTTTTCGTAGGCACGATGATTTTGTACCCCAAACTCCAGGCAGCGAGATTAATGCATACAAATCATAAAATCGTTATTAACACAACAGATTTGTAAATTAATAGCTCGAGAAAATACTACCTATCAAGACAATGTCTTCAGACAAAACCCGTCTTTTCGCTCTCCTGTAAAATTTTAGTGACGTGAGATGTTCGGTTTTGCAAAAACATCGACGATATGTATGTGCGCATTTAATCAACGAAATTCCAAATGCGACATTGGCTGAACAAACGTTACGACCCCGGATCGAGTCACAGCTGGCGCAAATTTTTGTTTACAAGTTTTTTAAAGCTATTAATTGCTTTTTATACCCATTTGGGTATATAGGGGAAAAAATAGCCTCGAGTTAGGACATGCTCGAACAAAAGCGAAGAGTTCATTGCATAGAAAGAGACAAAAAGTATTACTAAATATTCGCATGTTCCTTTGCGATTGCTTCCGCAATTATCCCGATTAGTCGCATTTTATGCAGGGTATAAACATACATATATACATACATACACACGTATGTGAATGTACATATCTACTTATAAACATTCGTGAAACTATGTTAATTGTTATTTGTTCACACGCAAAAAATTGCTGGTAATAGCTTATAGTGTGAACCCAGCCAGCAAAAAATCCGACAACCGATCCGGAAAAGGACAAAAAAGTTGATGAAGTGCGGATTTTTGTCCGTTTACTGATATTATTTCCGGATACTTTGACGATCCGTTTTCCCACTAAAGAGCGACAGAACGTATGGACAACATTATGTGAAACGGATACGTTTTCGGCTGTTTTTTTCTGAAATTTGTCTGATTGAATTTTTCGTTCAATACGCTTTCTTCCTGCACTTCATAGATACTTTTTCATTGTCCAAAAGAAATAAAATAAAATTAGGAAGCACCTGACGGAATTCGGCACCTTCTGGAAGCTAACAAATAGCAGTACACACCTCTGCACGCTCAGCCACTGCCAACTACGCATGCATTCTTTCAAATGTTTAGCTTGAGCAAATAAA